TAATGTTTAAATCCAATAAGTGTTACATTGTGTAGTCAATGTTTATTAAGATTTATCCTCATTTTTATCAGTCTCTTTGCTTACCATTGCTTTTCAGTCCTTTCTTATAAGGTCCTATTTCTTTTTCTTAAAAACATCATTGAGAAGCACCTTTGGGGCAGATCTGTAGAAGGTAAACACTCAGTGTTTGTTTCATTGAAAGGGCCCTTATTTAACCTTCAAACCTAAATAAAATTTTAGCTGAGTTCAGGAGTGTAGATTGACAGATTTTTTTTCTCTTTTTTGCTTCTTTGAATATATCATAACTTCACCTCCTTACACTGGTATCAAGATATCATCTTTGCCATGTGCCTAATCTGAAGAGAAAACTTGCCATATTTGACATCTATTATGATATTTGCTATAGATTTTCTTAGATGCCCTTTAATTATAAAGAAATTAATTTCAATGACTAGTTTGCTAAGATTTTTAAGTGAATGTTAAATTGCGTCACGTATTTTGTATCCACAGATATAAAAATCATAGATTTTAAGTTATTGAAGTGCCCAAGTACATTAATTAAATTCCTAATATCAAACTTACCTGTATTCTGAGGAAGAAAACCTAATTTGGTCATGGCTAGATTCAGCCTGTTAAAATTTGTTTAGCATATTCAGATCTTATAAATGAAGTAGATCACTATTTTTACTTTCTTTTAAAATCCCCCTCTAGTTTGGATATCATAGTGTTTAGAAGTTGTATAGGAACATGGATAGAGCTGTAGGCTATTATCCTCAGCAAATTAACACTGGGACAAACAAAACAAAACAAAACAAAACAAAACGAAACACACATACACAAATAACTGCCGGGCACAGAGGCTCACGTCTGTAATCCCAGCACTTTGGGAGGCCGAGGCGGGCGGATCAACTGAGGTCAGGAGTTCAAGACCAGCCTGGCCAACTTGGTGAAACCCATCTCTACTACAAATACAAAAATTAGCTTGGCATGGTGGCAGGTGCCTGTAATGCCAGGTACTTGGGAGGCTGATGCAGAAGAATTGCTTGAACCCGGGAGGCAGAGGTTATATTGAGCCAAGATCATCGTGCTACTGCACTCCAGCCTGGGTGACAAGAGTGAGACTCTGTCTCAAAAACGACAACAACAACAACAAACCAATTACCACATGTTCTCACTTACAAGTGGGAGTTAAACAAAAACTTATGAACACAGAGAAGGAAACAACAGACACTGGGGCCTACTTGAGCGGGGAGGGTGGTGGGAGGGAAAGGAGCAGAAAAGATAACAATTGGGTACTGGGCTTAATATCTGGGTGATGAAATAATCTATACAATAAACCTCTGTGAAACATGTTTACCTATGTAACAAATCTTCATATGTACCACTAATCCTAAAATAAAAGTTAAAAAGAAGTGATGCCCTCTTTTTCTGTTCTCTAGAAAGTTTCTGTGTTTTGAGAATCTACATTCCTTCAAAGAGTGTTAGTTTTTGGACAGGTGTATTCTTTGTGGGAAGATTTTTAACAGGCATACCTATTCTGTGGTTATAGAATTGTTCACCTTTTCTATTTCTTCTTGATTTCACGTTAGTAAATTTTAAGTTTCTATTTTTCAATTTCATATAGTTTTCAAGTGTACTGGCATAGATTTAATTATAATGTCTATTTTCTGTTTGAACTGTTATCTGTTATGCCCTCATTTGTTATTCCTAATAGTATTTTTTTTTGCCTTCTCTTTTTGCTTGATTAATTTTCAATTATATTAGTCTTTATAAAGAACTAGAGTTCAGCTTTATTTTCCCTTTTGAGTCTTTGTTTCCTATTTTAGTACTGTCTCATACACACACACATTCACACAAAGTTATTCTAATTATAATAAAGTTCTGTTATTAGAAAAGAATGTTTCTAAAATTTTATTTTATATCTGAATTACCTTTGCAATCTGTCAAGTTATTGAAAATGTATTTCAGACAGTAATGCAGGGAAAAGAAAGTAGTTATATGTCCAAGGATTAATTATTACTTCAATGCGTATGCAGTTAAAATTGTCTTATTTTAACATAAATTTCAGAACATCTTAATGGAACTATTTGTTGTAAAAGACAGGCAAGGGTACAGGTTAGCTTTGAAGATAAATTTTATAAGATTTGTACAGGACAATTAACCTTCCATTTCAATACATAGTACATTTATGTAACATTTAAAAAGCCTATTTGAGATAAACATCCAAGTACATATTATATTCTTTCAATAAACTCTTTTTGTTATAGAAGCGTAACAAAGGAATATTGTATTATTTTTATTAGTTTACTAGAAAATGCTGGGTTGTGCATCTCTGTTGTAGATTCCTATGCCAAGCATTTTAAGTTATAGATATTTTCTTAACTGATTTATTAAGTGGTTTCAGCAACTAAGTTGAAAAAAATATTTTACTCTTGCCTGTGTAACATATGGACAGTGTTTGGTTCTAATGTAATACCGCAATTCCCCATTCTGCCCTTTAGAAAGGGCTTGCTATTATGTACCTCTAATGTGACATATCTGAGGTATTCCACTTTTCAAGGTGAAAACCGTACATACTATTTCTGCAACATTTTATTGCCTTGTGGCAGTTTGGTTTGAACTTCTAAATCTTAGTTACTTTTAAGACTGAGGCTATAATTTATTTACCATAAGATTCCTAGACCTGCAGAACAGAAAGGATAAAAAACATCTCTGAGAGAGATTTTATTCTACGTGACCATGCTTATCTTGAAAAGCTGCCAAGTTTGCTTGTGTGCTCTGAGTGTCTCAAGTAGGAATCAATTAGAGTACCTGCTGTTTCAAATAGCAGCAGATAATGGTGGAAGAACAGAATGTAGACTACCAACAACGTTCAACAAGCAAGCATTATTCCAAAACTACAGTGTAGATTTGCTTTTTCAGTTCAGTATGCATTGGTTAACCAATGAACTTGAATAAATTAATTATTGTTATGTGATAACTAAGTTTTATTAAATGCAAGTAAAGAAAAATTCTTCTTTGAAATTTTCTTCTAAAGAAAATTCAACATTTGACCCTGTAATTATCAAACATCCTTGACAGACAGTTCCTAGATGGATGAAAAATTTTTGGAATCAAAAATGCTCAGGTTAGACATCTGATAATTGAAATATTCTTAAATGTCTCCACAAAAGTACATGAAAAACATTTGACCTCTTTGCCTATTTTCAAGAGTTTAAAATTTTACAAAGGGGCAATATGATTTATAGGCATTCTTTACAATAATTTTCTAGATGAATTTTTGGTAAATGCTATGGGCAGTTAGAAGCACGCTAGTTAAGCTAAATCATATCCTAAATATAATAAGATATATTTGTGTGACATATTTTGAAGCTGGAAAAAAGGTCACAGAAAAGAAAATAAGGTAAATTAAATATATCTCACTCTCTCCATAGACTATTGAATTTTAAAAGCTACAAACAGTTCAGAAATCTAAAGTATAGGAAAATAATATGTTGGAATTTGCAACAAAGTAAGTATTAGAGCAATTAAATATTAAACATATTGAAAAAATATGTTTCAAATAGGCATGTCACAATTTAAATATATTTTTCAAATATATTTAATAGATTTGGGTCAGAAGTTAACTTTAATTTTGCTGTGATTTTTAGTCTGTTTTGAACACCAACACCAGAATAAGTTTCCCAAAATAACCTATTATCTTATCAATCTGCTGCTGCTCAACTGCTAAATAGCTTATTTTTCCCTACAAACATAAAGACCCTAGTCTTTCCTGACTCTTCTGTCTTTTCAACCTTGTTTTTTGCTACTCTCCCCCATGATATCCCTACTCCCCATTGCACCAGTCTGCTCACCTTTTCATAACTATGCTTTTCCCATTTCTACTTGTTCTGTCTTTATTGACCTGTTCTCCTCCACCCTCTTCTCCCAATGTCTGGATAGGTAGTAACACAGTCATCTTCGCTATGGATTTAATACTCAACTCATTTTTTTTTCTTTTTTGAGACAGAGTCTCACCCTGTCACCCAGGCTGGAGTGCAGTGGCACTGTCTCAGCGCACTGCAACCTCTGCCTCCTGGATTCAAGCAATTCTCATTCCTCAGCCTCCTGAGTAGCTGGGATTACAGGTGTGCACCACCACACTCAGCTAATTTTTTAATTCACTTTTAAATGTCCTTTATGGATTTCATATTTCTGCACAATTGTTAACAATATTTTTGAGTCTAAAAAATGTCAACCACCTTACAGAAATAGAAAGTCTTTATTAATGTGTGTGTTGGCCTCTTCTTATCTGTCTGTGAGCTGACCACAATCATAGCTGTGTCTGAGGTTTTTGACAATTTTTCTATTACATTTCCTCAGAGTTCTCTTTCCTTATTGTTGCCATGTTTCAGCTGCCTTATCCCAGTATTTTTTAATCCCTTTAACATATCCCTAGAAAATTTTCATTGTGTTCCGAAGATGTAAAAATCCTTCATATTGAGGTAAAAAGTATTGATAACAATTTACTGAAACATACACACTAAGACTATATTGTGTCAGGGGTCAAGACTGTATAATGAATTAATAAAGTACTAACCATGACATTTAAGCATAAAATCAGAGCATAAGTGGGAACAGACTTTAGGGCAGCTGACAATGAATTTATAACACAAAAACAAACACTTATTCTTCCAGCTGGTCCATGTGTCATAGTATAAATGATTATTTCTGTCTTAAGTTTTTCTGTTGTATCTTGTGTAACCATATGTGTTTTATTTAAGGAGGTTTTAAAAGATTTAACTTTAGTAAACAGATTTTTCTATCATTATGTATCAATCTTCCCATCACTATAAATGAGCCCTATACTATTTCAATTACAGGTTTAATATTTTAAGTACCAAAAGCATATTTTTCTTCAAATAATTTTTGTTGTTTTACCAAAATAGCTTTCTTAACAGTGATTGGCTTCACTTAAAAAAATGTGATACCTTCCCCTTATAGTGTGCCTTTGTTTTCAGCATGTTATTTGCACAGGATTATGGTGCAAGGTAGAAGGTGAGAAAGAATGCAAAACCAAACTAGACCCACCAATGGATGGAACTGACTGTGACCCTGGTAAGGTAAGTCATTTGTGTTGTCTGAATTTAATAAGTATACTAGGTGAAACTTGAGAAACTTGCTTAGCACTGATGGAATTATTTCAGTATATACAAAAAATATTAGTATTTCATCAATTTTAACATTTATACTTTATAAAATCTGTGGTTGTTTTGTTAATATCAATGTGGTGGGTTTTATTTTATTTGTTGTTGATTATGAAAATGTTGAGAGTCATATATATACATTAATATAGCAAAAATGTGAACTTTTTTTACTTTTTAAACAGAAGTAAATTAAGCACAAATAATAGCATAAATGGTAAAATTTCTCATCGCCGATGAATCCTTTCAAGTATAAAATCATTGACTTAGGAGAGCAACTGAGTATTTTTTCCTTGTCAATATAATAATCATCCATAAAATATTCCAGTTGACATTTGGAGATTAGTAAATATTTGGCTGTCTGTGTAGTTTAACGTACTTCATAAGACTTTAAAAATGTATTAGTATACATTTCCAGATCAAAATAACTGCTGTTAAAAATTAATTTTCCTTTGAGGAATATGAAGAAGATGGATTTCATATGCATTTAATAATTATGGTTAACATAATCAAAAGATAACAGATCAATAGTTTACATAATTTTCTAATTTGCATACTGTGATGGGAAAGTAGAATTGTTATCACTGTACTCAGTTGCAAGATCAGAAAGCTTGCCTCTGAAGTGCATGAATGTGTATTACATTTGAAAATAAATAGCAACACAAAGAACCTATAGATTGCTTATGGTGAAATATTTGAAGAAAACATGAAATTATGTGGAATTTTATTTTAAAAACATATTGATTTGAAAAATGGACAGAAATGAAGGTATTCAACTTCTAGAAAATCATCTGAAGAAAGTACGCACACAGATGCACATATATACACATACACATGCACACAAAGATGCTTAGGTAAGAATGCAGTTTGTAATGGAGAGAAATGAGAAACAATAAAAATATTCATTAGGAGATGAACGGTCACAATGTAGTTGTTAAAAAATGAGGGAGATACCTATGTTCTAATCTGAAGAGATCTATAAGACATGGCTGTTGGTTGATAGGCATGTCAGAAATACTGATACTTTATAATATGATTTGACATTTAAGGAAAACACAGTTTGTATACACACACACAAGCACACACACACAGAAGTATATATTTTCAAACTCATAAAATTAGCTAGGCATGGTGGCGCAGGCCTGTAATTCCAGCTACTCAGAAGGCTGAGGTGGAAGGATTGCTTGAGCCCGGAAGGCAGAGGTTGCAGTGAGCCGAGACCGCACCATTGCACTCCTGCCTGGGCGACAGAGCCAGACCTTGTTTCAAAGACAGAAAAAAAAAAAAAAAGAAAAAGAAAATATAAACACAAAACTCCAAAGTGTAACTAGAAGTTACCTCTTAGGAGGGAAGTAGAATTGATGGCTGGGAGTATATCGATGAGATGGGTGAATATAACTTTTCTGCAGACATTTCTGGATTGTTTGACATAAGCATGCATTCATTTATTACTTCTATGATTTCTTTAATTAGAAAAGAAAAATGTACAAATTGTTTACATCCCAACTATTTTTGAAAAAAAAAACTAGAAATATTTTATCACTACATATTATCAGTAAGAAACTGATTCCTTAGAGGGAATTTCTGTGAAATATCAGTTAATTGTTTACAGACTGTTCCAAATATTTCCTATAAGCTTAAACAAAGCATCAGAATTTGGGTCTGTTTTATTTTTTAAATATATACACAAAAGTACAAGAACCTGTGTATATCAAGCAAGCCTCCTGATATTGTGCTGAGTAATTTATTGCTTGAATCATAAAACTTTGCACCAGCAATCATTTTTATCATCCCTGAAACACAAAAGCAGTAATATTAAGAGATAACCAAACATGAGTCCTCAAACGTCATATAACTTGTTCATCTTTAGTTTTTTAGCAATATAAAAATCTCTTTACTTTTATGATCTGGCACCTTCAATATTTTTCTGCTATGATTTTTTCCCTTGTATGTATAAACATAATTTGCCTTCTTGAAATCTTCAAAATAAACTTATTTTGGCAGTTAAAACTGTAATTACTGAACAAAAGTAAAATGTTTTGTTTTCCTATAATTGTGTTAATGATACTCTCTTAGAGGTTCTGTAATGCTTTGTATTTTGAAATAACTAATGAACCTCTCAGTTTTCCAGGCCTCGTGGGCTTCTTCAAATACTCATCTCTTCCAGCTCTTGTAGAAGCCATCGTGAAAATAGCTTCCAACACTCTGCCATTGTGTGCAGGAGTGCTAAAATATTTGAATGCTTGCAACCTCGCACTAAACATTGTTAGTTCAGTACATTGCTATCTAAGAGACAAAGCTTGGGATTTTGCAATTGATAACACTCTAGTGATATTAATCACATTGTATAAATCTAGTTAATCTAAGAGTATATAATTACATCTGAGAAGGTGCTTACAGAATTTTATACTTCTGAATGATTTTTAACAAAGAGGTTTATGTACTTTTTATGGACAGCATATTGCAAATTGAAAACAACTTGTTTTCTTCTCTTTTTATATTTTTTATATAATTTTCATATTTTACAACTTACAATACAAATATCAACGTGTGGGCATTTACATTTCACAGAGATTAGTGGGCAAAATGATTTATTAAAAAATAATAAATGTATGTATTTTACTTTCAGTACTTGCTAGTAATGAAAAGAGGGGAAAGAGACATTAAATACCAATTTACTAGAACTTTAGACTGTTTGGAAGGATTCTATGTAATATATTTTAGTTATTTATTTTCCCAAATTGAGATTCTTGAAATTGCCATCATAATTTATTATTGGAAACAATGAAGACTGTAATATCCTAACATATCACAATGTGCATATGTACACAGCTTTTTGCCTTCCTTCCTCCTCTTCTCTTTTCCACAATATATGTACAAGATTTGATCAGAGGCTGATCAGACTCCTTTGACATCTTTACAGACCCCTTTCAAATGTGTGTTTTCATGAACTTCCTAGACATGTCCACATAAAAATTTGGGAGTATAGAACTATAATTAGCCTGTTAGGTCACGCAGTGTCCTCAGGTGGTCTGTATTACATAATTCCTTAGTACTTTTATAAATCAGACTGAATTAATAGATAAGACAATTTTTTAGTGTTTTCAACAATACATAACTTATTTTTTGAGGCTAAAAAATGCAAATGTTTTATGAAACAAATCATGCTGCTCTCCGTAATAACCCTAATGATATTTATGGAAAGCATCATTAGGATTATTTTACATATCTTATATAAAATACTGTATAATAAACAAAACATTTAACACTTTCCTCATTGTTAAAGCACAGAACCATATAGAAGACACAAAAGCAGATACCCTCTAGTTTCATCCAGACATCTGGTTATCTGCAAGGTGACAAACTTTAAATATTATGCTATACTTTCTTCAAATTTCACTGATCTGTGTATGCAAACTGCTTTGCATATCAGTGTTCATTTCTCTTCATCTGCCAGATGTGTTACAGTTTAAATGATGTACAAATCTAGGTCCCAGTCCTTTCCAGAATATTTTAGTCTGCTGTGAACTCTAGCCCAGTCTTTCAATGCCAGCTTGCTGCTAAATGGCCAACGAGGTATGATATGCACTCTGGGAAACATAAACACCCTTAAAGTAGGCTAAAACAATGTGACCAATTGAAGTTTGACGACTTTCACATTGGATTTTTTTTTTTTCCATGAATGGTATAACATTTTTAAGTCCTTAAAACAAGTAAGTAATGTAGAAGTTTTCACATGGTTTGTTTCTCCTTTTCCAATTTTTAAACTGCATCTTTGTACAAAACCCAAATTTATTTAATGAGAGCCTTAGCATATTGATATTCTCTGAGTTGTTGATGTTTATTTTGTTTTTCAAGTTTAGATTAAAATCTTTTTGAATCTAAAAGAGGTTGAATTTAAATTTTGACATTGTTAGAGAAAATCTATGGGGACTAATCATTGTATTGCCTATAAAAGTAAGGCATTAATGGAGCCTACACAAAACTATATAGTGTAGTATTCTTAATTCTCTTTTCTAAAAATAGCAATAAAAATATTTTCACAGTAAATTATAAAAACGGATGAATAAATATCAGAATGAACAGAATTTTGCTTAGAATTCTGAAAGTATTAACGTAATGATAACTTATAACTCTATTATTGTTATAGTTAGCCCTTATTAAATCCTTAGTAAGGGCTATACATTGTGTTTAATGCTTCATTCAACTCCTAAATAAACTGATAAGTAAATATGATTATCATTCACATTTTAGAAATAAGCAAGCTGAAAATCAGAGCATTTCTGTAATTTCCTCAAAATCCTTTGTAAATTGTGTTGCCATTAAGTGTAGAAGTTCCTTTAGGGCTAGGAGGATCAACTTACTCAACCGCATCATTATACAATCACTAATCTAAATGCTTGTAATCATACTTATTATTCTCAATATGATTTTGTTACTTTTACCATGTTTGCTATGACCATCATCTATTTGATTTTCAGGAATGAGGAGAAATTTTAATAACCTGTTCCCCAAATTCTAGCAACCATTCCTGGGTGACCATCAGCAATCTCTCTCACTGCTTTTGTTTTCAGTGAATGAAAAAATAAAATAAAAATAAAAAAGAGAATGACTACACTCCTTTCTTTTATTCCAGTTATCTTTACCAGTTAATAGATTCCAAGTAAAGTACAGAATAATTGGCATGAAATGACAGAATTTCAGCATCTAATTGCCCACGTCTTTCAAACCAACTTGCTATAATGTTAATGGTTGAAGTTGATGGGAATTCTTTCAGGGAAAAATAAAAAATAAAAAAATTTTAAAAAAGCATAAAGGAAAGTGCTAAAATCAAACAGTATTTTTAAAAAATTGCAAAGTTAAAAAAGTACCGAGTCACTGACATTTCATATGAAAATTACTAAATTCGCTAAAAATGTCTGCTTTGACGTAGGACATTTATTTCTTGTTTCCATTCTTATTACTCTGATTTTTTTGTCCCTTTAAATTATTATCTGTTTCTTAAATGTGTTGAATTTTCTTTCCTGGTTGTGCAACCTCAGATTCCCTACCCACTACCCTATCTCCATCACAGGAACTGAATTCTTAGTACTATAATAACAAATATTTGTGCACTGCTTTCCCGACGAGACCGTATCTGTGAGAATTGGGCAATTATATTACTATGACAAAAAAACAAGTGCCAACTTACTTTTGGTCTTTCCTAATTCCCTGTGTTTGTGGCTCTAGTAGACCTGATTTAATTGCAATTCCAGTGACATTTTAGGCCAGAGAATGATTTTCAGTTGTGCCCTGATTTGTTCACCTAAGACATAACTTTTGGAATAGTGGTGTAAGGCTGGAGAATGTACCAGCAGGACCTCAGCACCTGAACATCTGGCCGGAGAGTGGAGCCTGTGGAGTCCTTGTAGCCGAACCTGCAGTGCTGGGATCAGCAGTCGAGAGCGCAAATGTCCTGGGTAAACTCAAAGTTCCTGGTTGGGGGAGGGCATTTCTTCAAGTTTGGAATGTAAAGGTGTTGGAAAGCAAAAGAAGCCCCTCAAACTCTACTCACGTTGGAAAACAGAAAAGTCCTTCGAATTATTTATTTTAAATAAAAACTGCCTTTAAGAAGAAAATAAAGACCAACCCTTCTAAGAATAAATAATGAAAGCTACAAAAGGTTATTTCTTGAGTAAATCTATAAAATATTTCAATAAACAGGGAGATGTGTATTAGAAAAATTATATGAACATTTACAGGAACTGGGAGAAGAGCAGAAGGATGATAAGAAAGAGAATGAGAACAAAATTAATGACAGCAAGAGCTAAGACTAATGAAAAACAGAAACATGCTAAGCACAGGTACAGACAGGAATTATCATGGGATCAGCTTGTTAAACCCCTTTATTCCTAGAGGAATTCTAGGAAAGTGTGAGAAAGTCATTCCAGCTTGTGAGCTTTAAACTATTGGTGTAGAGGTCACATGTAGTTTTAAATAATTTATATGAATTTATTTAAAAACATCTCCTTAATAATTCTAAGAACTAGATTTCTTAATGGGCATTTGAAGGCTGTTTTCCCCTCAGTCTCTGCCCTTTACCCCAATTTATCATTTTCATGGCAAGTGGGCTTTTATTCCTCATGTATTGTGGAAGGTATATTGATCAAGGATTAGAAAATGTATATAGTCAAAGAAATAAATATATCTTGCTACTACTAACATTTAATGTGCCCAAGTTTTCAAAAGTAAATATAATATAAAGGGTTATATATTATTAATATAGTGGCTTTTAATTTAAAAACTGGGTAGTTAACATAAAAAATGTAAAACTGATTATTTGTACTTTCTTTTCTAGGCTAGGTTCTGAAGCAAGGGATTGTAATGGTCCCAGAAAACAATACAGAATATGTGAGAATCCACCTTGTCCTGCAGGTTTGCCTGGATTCAGAGACTGGCAATGTCAGGCGTATAGTGTTAGAACTTCCTCCCCAAAGCATGTACTTCAGTGGCAAGCTGTCCTGGATGAAGGTATGACCAACCAGATCACGACCATCTTTGTTAACTAGATTTCTAGGTTTGCCAAGTGTTTTTACAATAGTCAGATTATTGTACATATTATCTTCAAAATATTTCTGAACTTTAATTTTTTCTACCTGTACTGACATATAATAACCACAAGCACTGACAAAAATATATTTTAAAAATATGAGGCGCTGTTACCCCATACCTATTAGAACAATGAAAATAAAAAGCAGTGACAGCACTAACGCTGGTGAGGATGAGGAGAAACTGGATTTCTCAGGCATTGCTTGGTGGGATTGTAAAATCATGCAGCCACTTTGGAAAATATAGTTTGACAGTTTTGTGAATAACTAAATGTACACTAACAATATAGAAATCATACTTCTGAGTGATGGAATACTCCTCAGCACTAAAGAGGAGCAAACTATTAATACATGCAACATCCTGATAGATCTCAGAGCATTATGCTGAGTGAAAAATGCCAACCTCAAAAGGTCCCATGCTATATGATTTCATGTGATAATATTCTTGAAATGATAAAATTACAGAGATGGAAAACAAATTTGTACAAATTAGTGGTTGCCAGGGATTAGGCATGGTGGTGGGGAGAGGGATGGGTATTACTATAAAGAGGTAGCATGAGGAAGATCTTTGTGCTGATGAATAGTTTCAGACCTTGATTGCAGCAGTGGTTGCACAAATCTACAAATGTGATAAAATGGCGTAGAACTATACACACACAGGTACCAATGCCAGTTTCCTGGGTTTGCTGTGGTTCTATAGTTACTAAGGTATAACCATGGAGGGGAAACTGAGTGAAAAGTATGTGGGAACTCTCTGTACTATGTCTGCAAGTTACTCTAAATATTTGATTGTTTCAAAATAAGAATTTTAAGAAAACTGTATGCTGCCTTATTAGTTAAGAATGATATGCCAAGCTAGTTGACTCACATCTATAATCTCACCATTTTGGGAGGCCAAGGCAAGCAGATTGCTTGAGGTCAAGAGTTTGTAACTGGCCTGGGCAATATGCCAAAACCTTGTCTCTACCAAAAATACAGAAAAAGAAAATTGGCTGGGTGTTGTGGCATGTACCAGCTACTCAGGAAGCTGAGGCAAACCTCGAGGCAGAGGTAACAGTGAGCCAAAATGGTGCCACTTTACTCTAGCCTGGGTAAAGTTGCACCTGTATCAAAAAAAAAAAAAATGATAATACTTGCCCGTGGTGAGTGGGCTATGGGTGTGGGCTGAGTTGCAGTTACCAAAAGTGGTGACAGATTATCTGATTTCATTGTTTATGATGCCACTAGTCTCTCTTTTCTCCCCTTAGTCAATTTGAACTTTGCTTTCCATCATTCCAATTACATTCTTCTCAATAACCTAAACTCCATTGGCTGTCCATTTCAGTGCCCCCATCTGATGAAACCCTTTTCTCAGAATAGCACCTACATATAAGCAGTAATGGAAACAGCCAAACAATGGGGCAGATTATTCCACTACTAGTGGTGGTGGGAGGAAATATAGCAGCCATCAGATTGATTACCTCCTTATTTTCTGCTATCAAAACACGTTAGCCTAACTTAGGATACTTCATCCGCTTTCTGCTATATGGCAGAATTTTAATTCCTTCTTTCCAAGGCCAGTCCCTCCAGTTGTGGCCTTGATACCATCCTCATCTTCCCTTTTCAGCTATCTTATTGATTACCCCTACTTTCTCTCATATAGTTAATCTTCTCTGTTTTGGATCATTCACATTTAATTTTTTAACATATTTAAGACTCTCCCACTAAAACATAAAAACTTCCCCTCAAGATCATAGCCATCTTGCGCTGGTGCACCTACACGTTTCTCTCCTCGCAGACACCCTTCTCAAAAGACCTGCCTGTATTCCAGCCCTGTTTTCTTCCCTTCAGTCTGGATTCCACCAACACAAGTCTTTCTAATGTCATCCAGGAGTCTCATGGAAACGAAACCTAATAAATAGTTTCCCATCCTCTTCTTAGTTGACTCTTAAATACATTAAGGTGGCTGCCCATCCCCGTGATTCTTGGAACACTCGTGTGCCTTGCTTGGTTTCTGTGTTGTAACACTGACCTGGCTTTCCTGCTACATCTCTGGCGTGTTCTCCTTCTGCCTACTTCAAACACTATTCTGTTTTCACTCTGCATTTTCTTTTTAGGTGATCTTATCTGTTCCCATTACTTCAAATATGTAAATAATACATGAGTTTACATCTTCAACTAGATTTTCCATTTGAGCTCCAAACTTGTATGTACAACTCCCCTCGTTGATATATCTAATTGGATATTTGCAGGTTTAAGACCAAACTCATGATCATAACCCTTCCTCTTCATGTCCATTTGATCCTCTAGTGTGTCCCATCTCGTTGAAGGTAACACTTGCTTTTCAGTTGCACAAACTTGATCACCTGGTTTATAAGGATATTTCTATGGCCTGCCCCCTTTAATTTCTCCTGCCTCATCTCCATCATTCTCTTTTGTAGACTCCTATATGGCCAGGCTGACTTCCATTCCACCCCTTAGATACATCTGCTCTTTTATTTTTGGGCCTTTACACCAGCTGGGTTTTGGCATAATAAGCTTTCCTTCTCAAGCTTTGACATCGGTGTTTATTTATTTACCTTGAATACGTCTGCTGATTTTTGGGACTCAGTGTATGTCAATTCCTCTAGGAAGAAAGAATCCCTCTGATCCTCCAAATTATGTGTGCCTTCCAAGTACCACACACACAACCTGTAATAGCACGTTTTATTGTGTCTGCATTCCCTCTAATGTCTGTCCCTAGTGTATCATCTATTGTATATTAAGTGTCCAATGAATATTTGTTAAATAAATTTGAATACATAGCCAGTAACTTTTTATTGTAAAAATATAATCAATATGACTGTTCACATCATGAAAATTTTCTGATTATTTGAGTCTTAATCCTGTTTCTACTTCCAACTGGCTGTGACAGTTAATAATGTCAAGTTTATTTGAAACCCATTTAATTATGGGTGAAATAAGATACAGAAAATAGGTGTTCTCCAAATTAAAAGAAAATCAGAGTTGGATGTGCATCAATTTAAAACACTAAAGCTGTTAGAAATCACAATTAAAGGGACTCCTGACTCTCATAAAGTGATTTATATCATCAAATAATCCACAATAGCTATTTGTATAATCAGCAGGATACCATTTGTGATGATTTTGCAACACGTATCAATCAAACTCATCAGTCTGTATTTCAGATAAAATATACAACAGTCACTAGCCTACATGTATTACAGCACTATGGAAGAAATGGAAATATACAATTCTTTAAAAAACATCATCTTAATAACATGTGACACCTTAAAATACAAGCGGCTATATCTGTTATATAATACACGGATCCCTGCCTAGGAGAATTAAATGTGGGGTAGCAATGCAGCAGTGAACATTTATTTTTAGAGAAAAGACATGCGTGGCTTCAACATTCAGGTATTTCACATACTTTGTGTGTGCCAAAATTTGGCTGAAATCCATGTCTAATGCATATCTTGGAAACAGTTGGTCTCTTAAATCAAGACAGAGCCTGCCTGCCAAGTATGGCATGTTACATGGATCACTACAATGTCACAGCCTTGAGGGCATACTCCAAAAATGAAGAGTGGTATCAAATGTTTATGTCATCTGTACAGCTGAAGTCAGCAGAGTGTATTTGTAATATGTTATAAAAGGAGAAATACAAAGATTTTTATCTGAATTTTTGCTTGAAATATGAATGGAATTTTCTAGGAGACTAACTCCTTTCAATATTATTTATTCATATATCTGGTTTGCTCTTCTCTTCAATGAAAACTACAGAAAGAGCATTATATATACCACTTTTAAAGTGTTGCAATTATAGCAGCTGTTTTTAAGTTCAAAGATATGACATAGTAAGCAGTCATTGAATAAACATAACCTACTTTGAGGTGTGAGAGCACACTGAAATGCTTTATTGCAGCTTATAATGGCATCTTAAAGGAAAATTTCAAAACCATGCACATTAAAGGCCATGTTCCAACTCCCCAAAATTGTTGAGAGCAGTATTCAGAAGCCACATGTGAAAACTGTTTGAAATGTTCACTTCTGAAGGCTCATTTAACTGTCTGTCTTCTCTTTGCAAAGTGATACCCTGTTCCTTGCCTCTGGCTGTTATTTGGTATTTATAGAATCCCATCAGCATACGTGGAACTTTACTGAAGACATAAGGGAAGATCAGTGTCAGAGACCATAAACTTTTTTCCATTCTATTTATATAAGCTTAATAAACAGTAAAGGACCTGACTGGTGTCAAGCCAATAGAGTAGTAATGTAGCATGGAAATTGCTCTGAGGTTTCAGATTTGGATAATAGTATTACTGGTGTTACCAAATACTACAGCTCTTCTGTAGGAGGCTTAGAAATGGACACAACACTTTAAAAATATCGTGCCACATTCTGAGCCTAAAAGACAAGTGTTTTAACCCCAAACATCCTATCTCGTTGCTGAATGAGGCACTACGAAGACTGGCAGCTGTTTGGGAATTATTTACCTGGGTTTATGGTTCTCAACCTAGATATTGTATACAACGACATGGTTTCTGCATAAGTGGTGAAGGGGACAGAGTTCTCCCAAGCACATCAGCAGTTGCACATAACTATGGATGCTCTCATGGGATGGTATTGCATTTCAGAACAATATTTCTGTGGCAGTGTAGTAACAATCCTAGTAACAGAAATGTTTTTTACAAATGCAATTGTTACTACAATCCCAGTAATAGAAAATTTCATGAGAATTCTCATCTTAGAGGCTCCTGTTTCTCCCTTTAGACATTTTTTCAATTAGAAAATGTCAACTTTGTAGAAATAAAAATTAGCGCATTGAAATTTAGAAGTAAGACATCAAGAAATAATTCAAGCATGAAGTAAATCTTAACCACGACTTAAAGATAGGTAGAATCCTGGTGCCTACTAAAGTTGAAGAGGATATCATTTCAAAAAAATATGATCATAAAATTGGGGTGTGCCAATTATTATTCAGGGAAGAGGTCTGGATTGTGTGTGCTAGATATGTTGAGCCATAAAATAACAAATGATACATTTTAAGGTAATTTGAAGCCAGATTTCTTAGAGGATTAATATTCATTGAACGTCTCCAGGCACCTGATGTATTACACATAGAAATCTTCTAATGTTATCTACTCTAATATTACATTACTTAATTAGCATTGAATTATATTTTTTACTCAATAACCATTCTGACAAATGAAGCTTAAGATAAAAATATGTATGCAGTAACTTTTTCTCATTTCTTTTTATCCATTCTGTATGTAGAAAAGCCATGTGCCTTGTTTTGCTCTCCCGTTGGAAAAGAACAGCCTATTCTTCTATCAGAAAAAGTGATGGATGGAACTTCTTGTGGGTATCAGGGATTAGATATCTGTGCAAATGGCAGGTGCCAGGTAAGACATTCCAAAAAGAAGAATTTATATGTTGAAGGAAAATTGTGGGACCATTGAGCAACTTCACAGTATGGTTGAAAGCTTTGGACTAAGATTCAAAAGATACTGCTATAGTCCTGCCTTGACTGTGACCTTGAGCAAGTCTGATTTACTTTGAAACCTCATTTTTTCATGTGTGTAATGATGCGTTTGACTTGGTACTCCATAAAATCTATTACTAACTGAAAGAATCTGAGATTTTGATTGTGTAATATACATATTTCAGGTTTAAACTTGGAGCACTTTGGACATTTTATATCAAAATATTTCAGACCAAAAATTCAGGCACTCTAGTTCTCCATGCCTTGTGTCTAAGACTGAGCCATGAGGCAAAAATCAATAAAATTGACCTTATAACTCATATTCAAGTATCCTCAATATACTTGAATCAGATGATTTTTAAATGCATATTCAACTTTCTTTTAATAAACATTTCATTTGCTTTTCTCTTTCTTTTAAAAAATTTCCATTCACATGCATGTGTGTGTTTTTCATCTATGTTTAGAAAAAAATAGAATTCCTGTTAAAGTGATTATGAAGAGCATAGTGGAGAGATCAAAGTGTAGAAGTGAGCAGTTGCTAGTCATGGTTCTCCCACTGTCTCAAGTTGACATTCCCTGGAAGATCAATATGTGCAAAGTTTAATGCCAAGTGTTTTCATGATCATCATCTATGTGGAGATAAGGAAGAGGCAGGGTTGGGCACATGGTGAAATCAGGCTCTGGTGCAGTCACAAGACCTTAGCTGACCCCGTGGGAAGCACTTAAACTGGCATGGGGCTTGAGGGTTGTTACCATTTTGGGTGAGAAAATCAGGCCATTTACTCTCAGCATCTACTATTGTTTGGATACAAGCTGCCCCAGGAAGTGGCTACAACCTTGGGGAAAGCAGGTTTCCTTAGTCTAGATAGTTTCTGATAAACCTTCCAGAAGCAGGAGAAAAATAAATCCTTTAGCAATGAAAGAGGTTGCTGAGTGGAGTGGCACTGAGTCCATGACAGCCTTTAGGAAACTGTTACTGGGCAAATCACTTAAAATATATTTGCATGCATTAATTAATCTGTAAAATAAAGTTGGTAGACCATTGGTCATTGACTTTGTGCTATATACACTCCTTTGAGAATTTAATGAACTTCCTTTTCCTCAGAAAAATGTACAACTGAACACACACATACACATATACATATACATGCACACAAATGCCAAAAATTGAAAACAATTTCAAACAATGAATGGATCAATCCATGGTCCAATAGAAGCATATGCACCTCTGGGTAAGAAGCTGGGAACAACACAAAACTTAAATGCTTTCCCAGCTCTGAGATTCTGTATTTTGCCAGTAGGCTATAAGGTTTAAAGCATAGAATCATGTAAAACCATTGGCATAAGAAGCAGTCTTTTGACTATATATTAATTTCTTTTATTCTTTAACAGAATATGGCAATTACCAAAATGTAGTTTTTCATTAAAAAATATCTATATTTTATTTGATTTATATAATTTAAAGATGTTTCACCTATACATATTTTGTTTTCAGATATGCTCTACTATTGAAGCCTTCATCTCATCATTATATGTAAATCTGTTAGATTATTGTATGTCTTAAATGAATTTATTTTTTAAATTGTGTATGTCAAATATAATAGCCTAAATTGCTATGCTTTTTACTTAACAGTATTGTATAAGCCAAATCTTTTACAAAGTCCCTGGGTAAAAATTAAAATTACAGCAAAAACAACAAAGATTTTGCACAAATACTATGTGGACCTGATGATTATAATTAAATTAGAATTGTTTGAAATGGATTGTGACTTATAATGGCATTAAAACACTTCAAGATTCTGGCTTTTTAATTAAAATGCTTCATTTAGTCTTTCAATAAAATTGAAAACACGCCTCTTTAGTTTTTCTGACAACCCTTAGCAATTGGGGGTTTGACTAGAGTGTTTTATCACTGAATATATAGCACCAAAGCTGAATACAGCATTACAGACATAGTGAATGAAAGGCAATCGAAAGCAGACAACTGTCTCTGGTGACCCATTTTGATTCTGTGACATTTCTCTTACTGAAAACGATAAGGAAGGCTGGAGCCTGTATGATCATGTTATTTGCGTATCTCCCACACACCAGTGGTACCTCAGGTACTTGCTACCAGTGACGTGGCACTGCCTCTTCAAAGTAGTTCATCTTCAACTTTTGGATTTATGTGAGCATATTTTGATATGTGTGGATACTTAAAACTACCAATTATAAGATACAAAATATTTATCTTTTTTTTTTTAAATGTATGATTATTGACCTGTAGTATATATGTCTATTCCTTACTTTTACTTTGGATTTACAGACCTTGTAATATCCTAGTTAAAGGATTGGGAAAAACTAAGAAACTGCTAAGTACCAACTTATTTCGTAGTTGAACTATTATTTACTGTATTCTCACCATTTGCCAAGAGGCAATCTGGGTACCTTGGATAGAGCAATAAAGATACTTTTATCATTTCAAAAACACTCTAGCTCTCCTCAACTTTTTCCCCATTTGAACACGGAGAGACTTTTCTTCTCAACCCAGGACTCCCAGGTCAGGCTCCTGCTTAATGTTCTCTTCACATACTTGGTTGTGTTCTGAGCATTTCCTGTGATGGCTACTTCTTTCATCTAGACATTCTCTTTATTTCTCCCTGAATAAGCTTTGACTTGCTGATCAGAGTTCTGTGCTAACATTTTGTACCTCTTGACACTGATAGGACCCCCTTGACAAAAAGAAGGAATGCTGTATTGTGCAGTTTTAATGTGACTTTTGCTCCCAGCATATCCATCCTGCAGCTGCATTTAATAATCTGCTAGCTTCCCCTACCCCAACACCAGCAGCACCAGTCACAAAGATTCTGCTTTTCTTTCCGTTACATTTAATATTTTAAAATTTCCTCTAAAATAATTGGAACCTATTATAAATGGATGTATCATCAGTCTCTGTTCCAAATCCATCTTGATTAGGAGGAATTGTGTAATATTACCATTTATTTCTGACAGTACTGACATACTAAATTCTGCCCTTTGAGTATGTACAATTTTGGCTCATCAATGGGAAGCAAACATTATTTACAAGAAAAGAGGCAATTGATTGGGCCTTAGAAGATTCATATTAACAAAATTCTTCTGGGAGCTTATAAAAATTAATTCCCCAACTGTTCGTGTTTTCTTAAAGCAACCATGGGTTGTGAGGAGTTCTTACTCACATTCATGTGCTAGCTGCCAAAGGAGATAGGGATAAAATAAACTACAGTTGATTTATGAACTGTAGTAAAAATAAACAGCTATGCTCAGTTTTCCAGAAAGTTAATATTTACCATTTAGCACTTACTTTACAATCACTTTAAAAGTTAAGCCATCCATATAGTGAAGTATATCTGTTCTTTGTTGAGTAGAAGGAATTAAACTAATCATGTTGCATTTAATAGAAATGTGATTTCCTTTGGGACTTACGTACATTACATTTTTCTCAATAATATTTTTTCCAAATTACTTTATGGTGTAATTTAATACTTACTATAAAAGATACTCTATGCTGGTCAGAGTGGCTCACACCTATCATCCTAATACTTTGGGAGGCCAAGGCAGGCAGATTACTTGAGCTCAGGAGTTCAAGACCAGCGTGAGCAACATGTTAAAACCTTGTCTCTACAAAAAAACACAAAAATTAACCCAGCATGGTGACACATGCCTGTAGTCCCAGCTACTTGGGAGGCTGAGGTGGGAGGCTGGCTTCAGCCTGGGAGGCAGAGGTTGCAGTGAGCCGAGATGGAGCCTCTGCCCTCCAGCCTAGGTGACAGAACCAGACCCCATCTGAAAGAAACAGTAAGATAGAAAGATAGATAGAAAGGAAGAAACAGAGAAAGAGAGAGGAAGGTATGTAGGTAGGTTAGCTGTCATCACTATCTAGGTAATTTTACAGATTATGTTATTTGACATTGGCTTGTTGTATTAGCTTGCACCGGAGAATATGACATTTTATAATATGACATTTTATAAGTTTTACAATTAAATATATCTGGTTTATAGAGACTATGTCCCAAATTAGTAGTAAAACAAAAAAGAATATCTCTATTTATGATGTGCTATCATTCTCTTGTTACAGAAAGTTGGCTGTGATGGTTTATTAGGGTCTCTTGCAAGGGAAGATCATTGTGGTGTATGCAATGGCAATGGAAAATCATGCAAGATCATTAAAGGGGATTTTAATCACACCAGAGGAGCAGGTAATTTTTCTTTATTTTTTCATAAATATTAATCCCTGCAATCTTTGGGGACACAAGTTACATTGAATTTAACTTAAGAGATTATAGTTCTAATTCTATTGAAGACTTGCAATGGGTATTAAATGATTTTTGTGATGACATACAATACATGTGATATGAGCCAAAAATCCTAACAAGCCCATTTCCCAATAATGAAAATATGAAGTCATCTGTTATACATTTAATAAGTTAGAAGAGCAAGGGAATAATCTAATTTGCATTGGCTAATGTTATCAGGTTTCTACAGACCTTATTCTCCAATGCAAAGAATGATGTCTACTGGAAAATAATGATTTGTAACAGCCTAAAGCAACCATTGAGAATAGTAATGTTGAGATTTTCAGCTTTCCATCTTTATTTTTTTCTTAATGTTTTTGCTACATTATCAGGGAGTACATTTTTGGAAACAGAGGGTCCATGACAGTGTAGCATACAACCAAGAGGAGTCAGAAGATGTGAGATAATGTTCCAAATAGATTTAACAGCAGAGTTCATCCTCTCTTGTTTTCTCGTCTATAAATACTAATACTCAGGGAATGTGAGATTAAAATTATGAATGATCTACATAGTATACATTTAAGGTAATTTACAACAAAATATGATATTGTCTTTACTGAAATATAATGATCCCAAAATGTGGTTTATGTACAGAAAATGCTTTATACTCAGGATCTTAAGCTTACTGGAAAGCAGCAAACATTTTCTGTGTTTACATTAGTCTGTTTCCTGGGCATGTGTCTTGTACCCTTAATATTGGTATCTATTTTCATGATTGATATGCTTATGTCAAATATACTCTTTTCTTTTTAAAATTATACTGTACTTTTTGAGACAGCATGTCACTCTGTTGCTCAGGTTGGAGTGCAGTGGTGCATGGCTCACTGTAGCCTTAACATCCCATGCTCAAGCAATCCTCCTAACTCAGTCTCCCAAGTAGCTGGGGCTAGAGGCATGCACCACCAGGCCCAGCTAATTTTTTTTTTTAATTTTGTTTTTTGTAAAGATGGGTCTCACTATGTTCCATAGATTTGTCTCAACTCCTGGGCTCAAGCAGTCCTCCTACCTTGGCATCCCAAAGTGCTGAGATTATAGACATGAGCCACTGTGCCCACTCTAAATATGCTGTTTTCATCATTAATATGCTTATATTACATATACCAACATTTTCCTAGTTTAAATTTCTTTTTGAAAAGAACAAGAATTCTGAGCCTAATACATGAATTAATTTTAATACAAAGAACAGGCCATTTATGTTTGAGTAATCGAGAAAACAGTTCATTCTAGATAAAACAGTCCTTCAGAAGAGAAAATTAGTCACAGTCTTCTAAAGTAAGAATGTAAATTGTTTGCTAGGCCTAAACAGAATAAAAGATAAGTGAGCCCGAACATCTTAAAGCCCGGAAATGAGTAGGGCCTATGGTAAATTGCAGATCAAACTCGCAGTCTTCAAAGTGGTGAAAAAGGTGATAGGTCTCAAACATCAAAAATCTGCCAGCACTCATTTAGAAAAAATAAATAAACAAATACTTAGCTGAAACAGGCTCTCAGACTTTCAACTAGGAAATGTAATTATAATAAGCTTTTTCCACCTGATTGTGATGGCAGAAGTTTTTTTTTATAGTGCAGAAATTCAAAAAAAAAATTGAAAGACTAAAAAAATTTAAAGATATTAGAGTTTTAAAGAATATTCTTTCATATTTATTTAGTATGCCTGGAAACAGTTCACAGAATACAGATGCACACTTAGCACTGATGCCTTTATTTAATTGTAACACTTCATATTTCCACTAAGCATAGAAAACAGAAATACCATTAAAAATCAGTGACTCTTTTTATTCTGACTGTAGTTATGTGAATATATATTTTCCCAGATATTTCAAATCCCCTTTTTATTCCACTTTAATTTCTACTTTTGTTCGCTGTAGGTAAGTTATATTAAAACTTACCTACCATGTTTATTTGGAAAACATCAGCAGTGCCTAATATCGTACAAATATTAAAGGTTAGTAAGGCCACTTTCTTCCTTACAACTCTGTTAATTTCCCATTGCTCACAGGGAAGAAACCAGAATTCTTAGCTTGGACCTTAAGGTCTACATGTGTTGTCCCTGTCTGTCTCTCCAGTCTCCTGTCACACCAAGGTCCTCTTCCTTCTCTGAGTCCTTACAGGTGCTTACACTGACCATGCCCCTGCTGCCACCCACCAGCCTCTGCCACACACACCCACATCTGGCATTTCCAAATGTGTATCGATCAGCTTTCTCTTGGCTTTGATGGATGAATTCCTAGATATCACGTAGTTCTCAGTTCAAATATCATTTATTTAATGAAGTGATCCCAGAAGTGATACCTCCTATGGCTAGTGACTATTTTAGTGATGTTTACCATGTTTGTATCCATATCGTTTGGCTCTAGTCACATTTATAATTTTATGTTCACTTGTCTTTCCTATGCCATTAGGCCTTAAGCTCGATAAGAAAAAAAATATGCTATTTTTGTTTAACACCATATTTGTAATTATCAGCATAGTATGTGATCCATTAATATTTGCTAGTTTAATAATGAAATGCTAAATTTGTATAACGTTCTATTTTAAAAATTCTGCATGAGTTATTAATTCTATCACAGGCACCATCTACTTGTGACTTCAGGAATGTTGTATTTATTTCTCTTGAGATGATTTTATCCCTATAGCTATGTACTTCCTAGAATTTTTTAAAGGCCATGCAGCCCTCTTTGTCCAGTTTGGCCACGCACGTTGAATATATTGTTATGAGTAACACACATACAGACACACATGGGTGTTTTCAGTCCCTGTGCTCTACTTAGAGTTTGCTAAATCATTTTTGTTGGAGCTGGAAAATAAATTCAAGAAGCGTTTTTTGTTTTTGTTTTTGTTTTTGTTTTTTTTCTTAGTACTTTATCATGTCTTCCATTGTAATTTGCCTAGCTAAGTGATACATTTTTAGAGGAATGAAAGGCAAATTACGTATTGGCCAGTTGTTGAACTGCATAGTTATCAGTATATACTAAGAAGAAAATGGGCATAAAATGTTTTATTCTTTGTATAAGAAAATGAAGTATAAGGAGGACATGCTGTAAGAGCTTTTGTGTGTGTAGTTGTTTGCCACAGCAGTGGGAGAGTCCTAGTGTTAACTATTTTTTTGTATTTTAGGAAATAGTTGCAGTGAATTATAGCAGGCAGTGAATTATAGCAGGCAGTGAATTATAGCAGGAAGTGAACAGGAGAAACAGACAGACCTGAGTTCAAAGCTTGGGCCAACTAATTACTGACAATGCAGTGTTGGAAAGTGTGTTTTTTCCTCTATCTTTATTTTGTCATCATATTAAATTAGAAGTGTAATATCCACTTTGGAGACTATAATTATGCTTAAAATTAATAATTTATGTAAAGTAACTATAATAATGATTAGCACATACAGTTTTTCAAAATATGGCATTTGTTACTTCACTGTTACCGTGAAGATGAAGAATGATATCAACATTTTAAGATGGCTGATTAAAAATGGGATCTCTGGTTATAAAATAGGATGTTATTGTGTGTAAAGTGCACAAGAGGATCAAATTTACAATATTGACTTCACTGGCTTCATGATCCAACTTCTAAGCTTCTAAGTCAGTACACTGTTAATTGTGCCAAATGGCTTATTTACTGAAAGTATTTAACTCCCAGTCATTGGCTTTCTCTCTTCATATGTGTTTGATTAATATTTTTCTACCTCTCTTCTTGAAAATCAGTCTAACCTTTCCTTTAAGTCATCCCAACTCAATAAAAGAGAATCACTGTAAATATAGCTATAAACTTAGATATACCTATAGCTCTAATGTATAACATACCTCAGAGAGTACCATTAAACTCAAACAAGAATTTGCACATACTAGCTCTACTTTGTTATATCTACTCTTCTTTTTTAATATTCTGAAGTTCAACATCTGCTCCCAACACTTTGCTGAATTCATTTGCTTGGAGATTAACAGTTATCTCTTGACTGGAACACTCAGAAGACTCTCTTTGGCCATCTTTCTCTTTGATGCCTCATGTTTGACATACAGCTTTTGACAGTTCACCAGCAATTCTTCTTGAGATATTCTCATCCATAGGGTCCCACTTCCCAAAACAGACCAGATGTCCTCCTTCTCCTTCTCCTTCTTCTTCCTTCTTCTTCTTTTCTTTTTTATTTTTATTTTTGAGACAGAGTCTCACTCTGTCACCCAGGCTGGAGTACAGTGGCACAATCTCAGCTCACTGCAACTTCTGCCTCCCAGGTTCAAGTGGTTCTTCTGCCTCAGCCTCCTGAGTTGCTGGGATTACAGGCGTGTGCCACCACACCCAGCTAATTTTTTGTATTTTTAGTAGAGACAGGGTTTCACCGTGTCAGGATGGTCTTGATCTCCTGACCTTGTGATCTGCCTGCCTCGGCCTCCCAAAGTGCTGGGATTACAGGCATGAGCCACTGTGCCTGGTCACATTCCTCTATCTTTTTTCCCGATTTATTTTTATCACTTTGTTAAAAACTATGACTGTCACCAAAGTTGAGTCCTTGATTTCTCTTCTTGATTTTCTCCACTTATTTCCATGCCTTAACTTGGTGATTCTGCAAGGATATCTCACAAAGCTACGTCAGTAGCGTGACCTTTCTCTAGATTCCAGATGTTACAGGGTTCTTACTGGATGGTTTTACTAGTGTGTTGTACCATTTTGTTAGATACAAATTGCAAAACCAAGTTTATTCAGTTATTACCAAAACTAGATGATTTCTCTCTTGACTTCCATGTTCCTGTAAATGATGCCCCATTCTCACATAGCTAATAATAAAGCATTGTATTCAATATTTATTATGCCCACTTTCTTTTGGTTACTAAGTTCAGAAAATTTTTTCTACAGAGTATCTTCTGGATTTTCTCCCTTAGCCTCCACTACTCCTGGATTTTACCATTAGTGTCCTGACACTGTCACCCACAACTATATCCCTGTTCATCTTGGATATCACTGTTAGACAAAGCCTCTCGAAGCCAGGATCCAATTACCAAGAACCTTGCTATAGAATGTTCGATAGTTTCAAATTGATAAATTCATTCTCCTGGGCATGCATTTAAACTCTCTTTAATAAAGCCACTCTCTTACATCTTCTCATTCCATCAGAATTATTTCATTCAAGTACCAGTAACCACACCACATATCCCTTACTCTTCCTTATACACAGCGAACTCATCCTTTTTCTGTATGTATCTGAAGCCTACCCATTCTCCAAAGGCAGTTCATCTATTTACTTTTTTGTGAAGCTTTCCTTTATAAGTTGTTCTCTCTTCTGAATCATAGTGATTCTGTCTGATGACATTGTTTCCCAAGTATGAGTAATGTTTAACAGGGAAAAAAAAATCCTACCTCTGTGAATAAAAATAGCAGTGAAGCCTTGAAGGTAGTAGCTTAAACAACTCTGATTTATAATCTTCAGCAGAGAACTAACCATATCATTTTGCATATTACCTTTTTAACATGATATTTGCCATTTATATTCAACTCATTTATATAAGGTAGTTATGCCTGTCTTTCCAATTCAATTATAAGCTCACTGAAGGCAGAAGTCACATACCTGACTTCTATGTGCAAATAGCCATTATGCATTTGTTTCCATTTTAATTGCTGCGTATTTTGTTCATGTGAAAAACTGACAGTGCTTTTGTTTAGTGTTACTGAGAATGGCTTAGTGTTGCTGAAATATGCAATTCAATAGTTAAACAAACTGTGTTCTTGAATGGCAATTACGATTCTAAAAGCACATGGCACTAATTCCAGCCACTGCCACCAGGTGGGGTATATGCTACCTTTTGGTATATGCCAAATACCTAAATATTCTCAGGAAGATGAATAATTAATAAATAGGAGACAACTCTGGAATTAGGTCTTGTGCCTTTTTTAAAGCTTAGAAGGTAGACTTTTATAAGATACATGGATCTGCACAGAACTACTAAGAACAATATTTTAATATAATTGGAAAATAACTATTCAAGCAAAGGTAGGCATCTGTTCTCACTATTCTGCACTAAGTGAAACTTGAGTCTGTATTTTTCTACACATTTTCTCTTATCTCACTCTACCTTATTATTTTATTTCTCTTCAAGCATTATATCCCTAACATCTGCTGAAAAATGTTTCCTGAGAAGCACCTAATTTTGCCTGGGGTCTAGCTGTCTGACATCTTCAGAGATGACCCTAGACTGCTTGGTGTGACCTAACACTTTCTGTCTCCAGCATCAGTTTCAAAATCCTTTGTTAATATCCTCCAGAAAATGCTTGGTCTCTCTTGTCCTATACTTCAGTACTCCAGGGATTTAGTCCAGGCCTGATATATTTTCTCCAGCTATATATTCTTTTTCCCCACACTTTCTAACCTAAAGAAGTTCCCACAACAAAATCTGAGGTTTTCTGTTCTATTTCACGATCCACTGTGTTTCTAACCAGGCTGTTCCACTGGTTTTTTTCTTTCCTTACAATTCATAAGGTATCAATGAGCTTTTTTTTGTTGTTTTACATAAAATAAAAGTGCCTGTTTGTCCTCCATAGTGCTGTAGGCTCAACATCTTTCCAAGAAACTTCACTGGACATCATGACAGCTTTTATATATAAAAATTTTTCTTTACGTAAGTAGTGAAATATCATAGCAATAACCAAAACCAAAAGGAAAACAAAAGGCAAGTCAATCAAGAAAAGAGATTTTGAAGGAACTCAAGATTTATTTCATGTTTTATTCACCCTTACAGGTTATGTAGAAGTGCTGGTGATACCTGCTGGAGCAAGAAGAATCAAAGTTGTGGAGGAAAAACCGGCACATAGCTATTTAGGTAACCTGTGTTACAGACACAGAGAAGATCCAAGTACGAGCCCAACTCCCTGCCCTGAGAGTTCTATGATGAGGAGGAAGTCAATCTGTTTCTAGTTTTATGTTTGAACTTCCCAGGAACTATCTTTTGTCATATTAAGTAGGAATATTTTTCCTTCTCTCCCAAGGACTTCCCAGGAGCAAAAGCAATCTGGTTGTCTGTATGTTTTTGAGGGGTAAAAATTGCTTCCACATGTTAGTCCAAGATAAAAAGCAAAACAAAACAAAACAAAAACCTCATTGAATGATTTGGGTATGATTTATATTCATATATATTCCATAACTATATTTGTTTCACATATATACATACATTCACACACACATATACATATTAGTTGCATTTATAAATGAATTTATGTGTATATATATAATGATCATTTCATCAGGAAATCTTGTGGCATTTTTGAAGTAATGTTCTACATACTAAAGGACTTGATTTTTTAATGGAAAAAGATTCTCTCTCTTGCCTCATTTTAGGAAAACTCACCTATGAAGAAAATATTTTTAACATTTTTAACTATTATGAAAAGTACTGTATCAGTTATTTTAATAGTTTAATTAGGTCATTTCATGATTTTTAAATATATGAAAAAAAAAGTTGTCAAAATATATATGCTCATATGTTAAAAAAAAAAAAAGTTTCAATCTAAATCTTGTGAAATGAGGTTTTATCTGGCATCCAGAGATAGAGGGACCTAATATGATGATGTCAGGCAGAAGACTAAATAATTTTCCAGAATTGTAACGCTGTGTTTCTATTATCTTTACACACACACAAAAAGCTCTCAAGCCTATTTTTTGTAACAAAAATAATGTGCTCCCTATTTTTTCTTAAATGAGCAATAATGTCCCAATAAGGAATCCTTTGTACATAAAAACAACTCAGCTTACATGATTGTTTCTACTCTGCAATATCAAAAATACACAATCTACACTCAGATTGAATTTTTTTCAATAGAAGTTTTTTCTAGGAGTAGAAAAATTTGAGGAAAGGGGACAGTAAAAGGAATTCTTTATCATGTGACACACTCATTACCAATTATTACCATTTGTTCCCAATATATGCATTGGTATTTAATCTATTTTACCTACTGTGGTACAAATAGATCATACAGGATTTCCAAATACAGATTAAAAGTCCTGATATCCAATTTTTAGAGACACTGGCCATAATCTAGACAATTTCAATACATTCATTCAATAACAGACAAGTGGTTATTACACTTGCATGTATGTTTTCTTTTTTCCAAGCTATAAAGGAATATATAGATATGTCATATGGAATTTTGTCAATTATACAAAATTCTAAATTATAGCATGGGTTATAGTAACCTGACACATGTGACTGAATAAGCCAGGCAATATTACAAAGGTGACATCTTCATGCTGTCTCCAATTTCTTACCTCCCAGTCTCTTTAACCAATCCAGTCCTGTTTCCTGTCTCCCTCTACAGTAAATGCCTTTTTTAAGGTCAGCAAATGCCCTCTATGTTGACAAATCTAATGTTACTTGACCTGTAAACAGCATTTAAAACTGCTGACCTCTCCTCATTTCATTAAACACTTATAGGACCACTGGATGCCCCTTACTGGTCTCTTTTGTGAGGTCTTCAGCCTCTTTATGTTTCCAAATGTTCCCATACTGTAGGGTTCAGGCCTAGGTCCTGATCTTTTCTCTGCTATATTTTCTCCCTAGGGAATTACATCCAGCTCTATTGTTTTACACGTTTATTTTATCAAAAGTTTCATAGGTACCTCAGAAATTATAAGTCTGATATAGTTTGGATGTTGTCTCTTCTAAATCTCATGCTAAATTCTGATCCTCAATATTGGAGGTGGGGCCTGGTGGGAGGTGATTGGATCATGGGGACAGATTTCTCACAAGTGGTTTAACACGATCCTCTTGGTGCTTTCCTCATGATAGTGAGTTCACATGAGATCTGGTTACTTAAAAGTATGTGACACGCACCCCCCACCCTCCTGCCCCTTGCTCCCTCTCTCCCCATATGAGATGCCTGCTCAAGCTGCACTTTCTGCCATGATTGTAAGCTTCCTGAGATGCTCATCAGAAGACAAGCAGATGGCAGCACCACACTTCCTGTACAGCCCACAGAACAGAGAGTCAGTTAAATCTATTTTCTTTATATACTACCCAGTCCCAGGTGTTTCATGATAGCAGTGCAAGAACAGCCTAACAGAAAGTCCCAAATCAAAAGTCCAAATAAAAAATTTGATTTCCACTCCATGCTAAAACCTCTTCTTCCTTTGGTGTTCTCCACTGCAGTGAATGTCACTGCATTAGTGTCCTATGCCTACTATAACAATTACTGCAAATTTGGCTACTTAAAACAACAAAAATGTATTCCCTCATAGTTCTGCAGGCCAGAAGTCAGAAATCAGTTTCACTGGACCAAAAGTCAGTGTTTGCAGTGTTACACTATCTCTGGAGACTCTAGGAGAACATCTATTCCCTGTATTTTCCAACTCTGGTGGCTGCCAGCATTCCTTCGCTTGTGGCCTTGTCACTCCATTGTCTGCCTGTGTGGTCTCATTGCCTTCTCCTTTCCTTCTGTGTTCAAATTTTCCTCTTCTTCTCTCTTATAAGGATACATGTGATTGTACTTAAGGCCTACCTGGATAATTCAGGATAATCTCCCATCTCAAGATCTTCAACTTAATATCTGTAATTTTTTAAAATGTGCCACAGATGGCAATTATCTTAATTTGTGCTGCTATAAAAATGCCATAGATTAGGTAGCTTATAAACAACAGAAATGTATTGCTGATAGTTCTGGAGGCCAAGAAGTCCAAGATCAAGGCACTAATAGAGTTGGTGCCCTTTAAGGGCTCATTTCCTGATTTATAGATGGCATCTTCTCGCTGTGTCCTCACATGGTGTAAGGGGCTAGCTAGCTCTCTGGGATAAGGACACTAATCCCAATTATAAGGGCAGAGCTCTTATGACCTAGTCACTTCTCAGAAGATTCCACCTTCTAATGCTTCTAATTCTAACTTGGGGTTAGTATTTCAACATATAAATTTTAGGAGGGGGACACAAATATTCAGACCATAGCAGTAGCATTCATAGGTTCCAAGGATTAGGATATGGGTATCTTTTCCCCCCTCAATAAAATGTTTTATTGTAAAATATATATCACATAAAATTTACCGTCACAGCTATTTTTAAGTGTCAAGTTCAGTGAATTCAGTGGTATTGAGTACATTCACATTTCAATGAAATCTTTTGAAGGAATACAAAAACCCATTTTAAAATTCATATGAAATTTTACATACAGAAGTGACCCTGAATAGTCAAACCAGTCCTGAAAAAGAACAAAGCTGGAAGATGCAAACTTTCTGATAGTAAAACTTTCTACAAAGCTACGGCAATTAAAACAGTATGATCCTGGCATAAAGACAGACATCTAAACCAATGGAAAAGAATAGGAAGTTCAGGAATATATATATATATTCAAATGATTTTCAACAAGGGTACCAAGACCATTCAACTGAGAAAGGACAGTCATTTTTTTCCAGTGGTGCTGGGAAATCTAGATATCCACATGTAGAAAAATGAAGTTGGACCTTTACCTAAAACCATATAAAAAGGCTGTTTTGTCCAGGGCTTTTGATTTTTGATTACTGATTTAATCTCCTTGCTAATTATAGTTCTATTTATGATTTCTCTTTCTTCGTGATTCACTTTTGGTAGGTTTTGTTTTGGGAAATGTGCACATTTCATCTAGGTTATCTAATTTATGGTCATACAGTTGTTTATAGTACTCTCATAATCCTTTTTATTTCCATAGCATTGATTATAACATCCCCACTTTCATTTCTAATTTTAGTAATTTGAGTCTTGTCTTTTCTTTTGTTCCCTTAGTCAGTCTAGCTAAAGACTTGTTAATTTTGTTGATTTTTTCAAAGAACTATCTTTTAGTTTTGTTGATTTTTCTCTATTGTTTTCTATTCTACGTTTCACTTATCTTTAATCTTATTTGCTTTCTTCTACTAGTTTGGGATTCAGTTTGTTGTTTTTCCAGTTTCTTACATGGTTAAGTTTTGTTGTTAATTTGAGAACTTTTTTCTTTTTTAATGTAAGGGTTTATAGGTATACATTTTCTCCCTGGAAAAACTTTTGCTGTGTCCCATAAGGTTTGGCTTTGGCATGTTGAGTTTTCATTTGTCTCCAGATAATTTCTAATTCCTGATTAGATTTTTTTTTCATTGTTGCATTGGTTGTTAAATAGTATGTTGTTTAATTTCTACAAATCTGTGCATTTTCTGTTTCTGTTCTTGATTTCTAATCTCATCCCTTTGTGGTCAGAGAAGATATTTTGTATGATATTATATCTTTTAAGAACATAGATAGATATCGGGGGGTTGTTATTCAGCTCATCATATTCATTAATTCCTATCCAGTAGTTTATGTCAAAACTGAGAGTCCTCCTTGATCCTTCACTTTCTTAACTGCTCTAGTGTGATGCATCAGGAAATCATTTCAGTTACTCAAAATTATTACTTTTTCTGCGTGTACACTGACCTCTAACCAAGCCACTCTCTATTACATTGTCCTGCTTTATTTTCTGTATTACACTTATCCTTATCTGATTTTTTTATTTGTTCAAATTCTTGCTTTTCTAATGTCAATCTCCATTGTTAATTTTTGAAGGCATTTTGTTCTTTTGTCTACAATAGCTAAATCAAAGTCTGGCACACAGGAAATTACAGACTTTTTGAGTGAATTTGTTTAAGAAAAAGATGTTTCACACTTGGTTAGTATAGGCCAGTGCATTACATATATCCATAAATCCTCAGAATACCTCTATGAAGTAGGCATTATTAATTTCCCAATTTTTAAAATCTGGTAATAGAGTGACAGAAACTTTAAATTTCTTGCCCAAGGTTATACATCTAAGAAGCTGTGAACCTAGATTTGAACCCGAGGTGTCTAGGGATAGC